AGGCTGCATAAATTTTTAATCAAAACTGTATAAAGTTAGTTACAGTTGCATGTCTAATGTGAAGTCTTTAATAAATGCGCATAACAATAAGGTTTTACAATGCAATAAAAATATAAAATCAAAACAATGCATTTGCATTCGGGTTGGCTCCATTTCAAAGGGTATAGACTAGCCCCTTTACAATAACAGTTATAGCTAATTTGAGCAGTGACTATGATAGTATTTGTAAATAGGAGAAAGAGATACAACTTTATGACAGAAGACTTCTTCTGCCAAGCTAAAGCCACCTTTGGGCAAGGTGGTATTAGCTTGGCAGGTACAACTACATTTAAAATATGTTTTTAGGTCTAAAAGAGAAAGAGCATTGTTAGAAGAACCAGCAAAAAAATGATAAGAGATAAGATTATTCCATCTTAAGACAAATAAGAGATGTATAGAATATGAGAATTGAGACAAATAAGAGATGTATAGAATGTAGAGAATTGAGAGTAAAAAATAGCAACCCCGATGAAGAGAAACAACCTTAGTTAAAGCTAACTTTGCAATCCATTATATATATAATTTACCACAAGAGGTTAATAGTGAATAATAATCCAAGAAATAATCCAAAAGTTACAATAATTGTTTGTAGTAACTAACTGAGTTTTGTTTGAGTTAAAATTCACAAGCCACTGCAAGCCCCAAGCTGTCACAAAAAAAAAATCAAATTTAAGTTTGGGTTCTAAGCTATGATGGGAGTTAAGGTTAGTTTTAGTCTAACTAAAAATACTCAACTAAATTTTTAGTCTAACTAAAATTAGTCGACTAACTTTTTAGTTAACTAAATTTAGTCGACTAACATTTTAGTTAATTAAAATTACCAGACTAACTTTTTAGTTAGCTAAAATTAGTCAACTAATATTTTAGTTAACTAAAACTAGTCAACTAACTTTTTAGTTAACTAAAATTACTCAACTAACTTTTTAGTTAACTCAAATTAGTCGACTAAATATTTAGTATAACTAAATTTAGTCAACTAAAACAAGATTTAGTGCTTGAAAAATGAAAAAATTATTTGCATAAAAGTTTTACACATGAGCAAGCTTTATTAGGGCGATAAATATTATTTTATTGTAATTAAACACTTTACTAATTGTGAATCCTAGAGCTCAGTCAAACTGAACTGTTATTCAAAAAAAAATGTTTTAAGCAAAATTCAATTGTTTTAATTTTTTCCCAGCTCAGAGACAACTGCCTATGATGTTGTTGCAACTGTTTATAAACACCCAATAAGCATGGAATGTACAAATAATGCTCTTTAGTCAATTAAATCAAATTTGGTATGCTTATTGAACGTTTAACTTATATTTTTTATGTGCTATGTCTTATCGGTAGTGTGCAATAATAATTGCACATCAAAAATAATCTCCCCAATCTCCCCTGCCAAGGCCGTACTGACGGGTGTGGGCACCTGCCTAGGTTTTCAACATTCTGTTGATTTTGTCAGTAATTTGGAAAATTTGAGACTCGTTCGGTAAAAACTGAAATTTGGCTTTTAAATAATAAAAAAAACGCCACTATTTTGGTGAGATTTTTATGGTAAAAATCCTTTTTTCATTTTCATCTCCCCCCCAGTATATTCGTTGTTCAGTACAGCTCTGTCCCCTGCATATTATAGGAATGGATTCAATCTCTAATTTTCCCAACATGACTCCCCCTCCCCACCTCTTCAAATATCAATCTCTCCTAACAATTAATGACTACTCCAAATACAAAAAAAAAAAAAAAAAAACAACAAAAAAAAAAACAACAACAGAAAAGCAAAATACACTAGATTAAAAAATACAGTAAAAAAATAAATAAAATAGAAACAATGTAGTTGAAACATTTGGCATTCTAGTTCTTCCAAATACAGAAGATATAAAAATATTGTGTTCACTTATATTTATAAATGGGCATTAAATTCCCTCCCTTTTTTAACCCTCCCCAAACCTATTGTAATGTTAACTTAACCACCACCACAAATACAATACGCAATATACAAACATTTATTGTTGCGTCTTCTCTCCCAACTATTATAATCCTCAAACACTACAGTTAGGCAGGGGAAAGTATTGACATAAACCCAAAGGTAATCGTCAAATAAGTTATATGAATATATTTATTGCTTTCAGAGTATAGTTGTTCGTCGATTCGCTATACTTGCAAAATTTAAAAGGAAGATTAGTATTTGCATTTTAGAATGCAATTTCCACAACATAAGTTGTTGAATAGTGTATAAAATGTATTAAATAATACTTATCTGTTGAATAATGAAAACATTTTATTAAGTAACTGCGGTCGCTTTTAAAACCAGGAAATTGTTTATGACATTTTACTTGAAAAATGCAATACGTAGTTTTTAAGCACTTATAAATACATGTAAAACCGGGTCAAAACAATTATTAATTAAAATTTAATAACTTTTTTATTATATTTATTTTTATATTTTTTCATTAGATAGATGTTTAAAAAAATACTAAAGAATATATAAATAAATACTATAAAAAAAAAAAAATCAAACTATTAAAATAAAAAAGGTAAAAAAAAAAGTTTATGGTTTTAGGCAACATTATGATAAAACCGCACACTAAAGAATATTAAAATCACACATTAATTTTTTTAATTTTACCGCTTTTTTTAAACACATTTTAAATTTAAAAAACTATATTAATTTTTAACATTTTTGCAGCAAAAAAAAAAATCAGTTTCACACAAAAGTGTTTGAATACTAAATTTAATAATATTTATTTAAGAACAATAAAATGTATTAAAAAATATTTATTACACGAAAAAACTTCAGTATTAAATTTAATGAATTTAAACTAAATTAAAAAGTTCCAAATTTTCGTACAAAAACATCAACATTTGAAAACATTCAGGCACCAAGTGAACACCAAGTGAACACCAAGTGAACAGTGCATAAAATCATTGTTGAATTACAATTCAATATTGGAAACACATGTTGATTTTGATGCCATAAGTATAAAAATATTTTGCTCATTTACTAACAACTTTATCAAAAACAAATCTAAACTTATTATTTTGTCACTATCATTTCCGGAATCATCGTCTTCATCGTCAAATGATAACTTAAATTTTTTTGATTTGATTGTTACCTTTTTAAATGGAATTATATCACAAACCTTTATTGTCAAATGAAATTCCGACATAAATTCTCTAACGCATTAAAATTATTTTTTTTCTAATACTTTTCAAAGAATTAACAACTTTTATAATTTAGATCCAAAAAAGTGGCACATAATAAAAACAAATAATTGTAGTATACTGTAGTTTACAGGGCCGGCACAAGTAGGTTACATGTAGAGAGCGCCGTTAAAATTTTAGCTGATAGAAAAAGGAAAAAAAAATCCTTGTTTTTTTGAATTTACAAAGTGACTGTTCTGAAAATCTACATTTGCTGACTTATCTAAAAGAGTCAAATTGGCTTACTAAATAAGCTAAAAGTTCATTGATGGGACACACAAAACCAACCACCCCATCCCCTCACCCCTTTGCGCTGGCCTTGGTAGCTTATTCAATTCTAAACATATTTGTGTTTTACCATGTTTACTTTTCGGATTTTTTATGAAATATATTCTTGAAGTATCTTGTTAAACCTTGGGCACTGAAAATTGAAAGAAAATTATTTTGACATTTTTTTATTTCTGCGCTATTATGCAGTAAAATGATTATGCATTAGCAAACTTATTCAAAAATTTTAATAGAAATGATATCATGAACCCAAATTATTTATATTATATATTTATAAATTTCTTTAATCGGACTAAAACATAGTCGGGTAAATTTAGTCAACTAAAAACTTAGTCGGTTAATTTTAGTTAACTAAAAAGTTAGTCGACTAATTTTAGTTAGACTAAAAAGTTAGTCTGGTAGTTTTAGTTAGCTAAAAAGTTAGTCAGGTAATTTTAGTTAACTAAAAGATTAGTCGGGTAAATTTAGTTAGCTAAAAAGTTAGTCAGGTAATTTTAATTAACTTGACTAACTTTTAAGTTAGTTGGGTAATTTTAGTTAACTAAAAAGTTAGTTGACTAATTTCAGTTAACTAAAAAATTAGTCAGGTAATTTTAGTTAACTAAAAAGTTAGTCGACTGATTTTAGTTAACTAAAAAGTTAGTCAACTACTTTTAGTTAAGCAAAAAGTTAGTCGACTAATTTAAGTTAGATTAAAAAGTTAGTTGGGTAATTTTAGTTAACTAAAAACTTAGTTGACTAATTTTAGTTAAATAAAAAGTTAGTCAACTAATTTTAGTTACGGTTTTTTTAGTTTAGTTAGTTACAATTTTTAGTTTTGGTCACAACACTACTAAGCTATCAAAAACTGCTGCCTTTTTGTCAAGTTTGGATTATATTGTTATGTTGTCAGCAAATGTAGCTCCTTAAGATGTAAAGTTTATAATTTATATCATAAGAATGAGTGGAATAGGTATCTAATGAATCATAGATACCTATCTTAGAATGTAAAATATAAAAGATAAATTAAAATAAAAGAGGTTATAAAGTCTTCAAAATATTCAAAAAAAGTTTTCCAAGAAAACTGCTAACCTTTTTAGTTCTTATTAGTAATTAGTAAGTTATTATTGCCTAAATTTTTATATCATTTATATTAAAAAAAAGATATTTATCTTGACTATTGTGTTCTTCTCTGCGCAGTTGATGTAAATTGACAAACAATTTAAAGTTTTCTGTCTAACTTAAGTTATCAAAGTTAACAAAAACTTATTTAAAAAAATTTAATTTTACTTATTTAGTTTTCTGTCTAAATAAGTTAGCAAACTTAAGTTAACAAAGCAAGAAAGCTTTCTTGCTTTTTTTTTTTTTGCTATTTAGCTCTTTTCTTTGTTTTTATCCCGAATAGTTGCTAGACATTAACAAAAAAAAAAATTAAAATTTTTTTAAGCTAATGTTATTTTTTTGTTTTGACTAAACAAGTTTTTAAAGATTATTGCATTTATTTTTAGGTTACTTTTCAGAAACACTTTTTAATGAAAATAATGGAATACTAAAGTTTTTAAAACTTTCCATTGGTTCCAATGAGGTATATTATTTTTATGTAGTTTCTGTGCTAAGAATATTTTTGATGTATTATATAACATAATTTATAACGTAATAATTGTCAAAATTATGCTTATAATTATTTTTTCATTGTTAACAAGTTATTATGAACAATAGCAGTTTAAAGATGTTAAAATGAAATTTTATTATTAAACAATATAATGTAATATTTTAAAATAAAATAAAAATAAATCAAATTTTTTTTGTTTTTAATTTTACCTGAATTTATTTCATTTTTAAATATCACTTATATCAAACGTAATTGGCATTCAAAATGACCATAGATGGTCTCCTTGGAAACTTGCACCTGTTCAGAGCAACCAAAAAATTTTATTTTTTCAAAATCTAATAACTAATACACCAAATGAAAGCCCAATAAATATAAAGCAAAAAATATAAGAACACTATATGGAAAAAATTAACTGATAACAAGTTAGAGGGCTTTAAAAAGCTATAAATCCAAGGAATAAAATAAATATAAAGTAATGCATGCAAAAATAAATTACAGTTATTTTTTTTTAATGACAATGTACAAAATTTTGAAAGATTGTTATTTATTTAAAATAAAAAATAAGTTTATTTTATTATTTTTCCTTATAAAAAAACACTTTGATAAGACAATCAAGCCCATAATACTTTTCCTCTGAAATTATTAAAAAATTAAATAAATACTTAATTACATGTTTGGAATACGAAAGGAGATTTTCCTTTTTAATATAATTGTTCCAAGAATCCCATGGCGCTGATTTGTTACAAAATTCTTTTGTGCACATACAAAAATCAACATGTTGATCCCAATATTCCATGAATCTTCTAAATCTATTGTCATGATCAAACATGGAATGGTGCGATCAAGACAGCTGTTGAATTTTTAGATAAAGGTCAAACACCTGTCATTACTTTTGACCAGCCATTGTATTCCTTGGCTAAACTGATACAGTGAATTAAAAAAAATACTATGGAGAAAAAGCTTTTGTCATTATGATAAGGCCAATTCATATCAAAGTGGCAGCACTTAAAACAATTTGGGATTAGTTAAAGATTCTGGGTGGTGTTCTGCTTTAGTTGAAGCAGAGATTTCATCAGCAGGGAAAGCTTAATCATACCTTAATGCATCACATGTATCAAAAACAAGAAGTGTGCATCAGGTAAATTTTAAAGTCTATTTTTTCATTTTTAGGAAGGACGAGTTTGATTTTGTGATATACAAACAATTACTAAAAATATTTGTTTAGAAAAATTTGAGTTATAGACAATATAAAAGTTAAAAAAAATAATTTCATAATAGGTAACTACTGATGCTCTTCATATTTTGACTTATCAAGACAACATAATTCGAAATGAAAGATGTGAAAAATCTTTTGATGATTCAAGAGAAGATTGTGAACAGGTTTATCCCCAATTTAGATTTTGGTCAATAAGGCTCAAATTTGAGCAGTTTATATTAGCTTTTGTGTGAGCAATAAAGACTGGAAATTTTGATTTTTATATGATTGGTTTTTTGCATTAGACCATACGCATTACTCGCCCTAGTTATTTGTACATTTAGCAGATATGGTTTGACTGGAAGAAACAAATTTAGAAATTGCAAGACTGTTTCAGTATGGCATGTTTGTTGTAAATAAAACAAAGAAAAAGTTTCCTTTAATTGGGTTAGACCATGAACATGAGCAAAATAACAAATGCATCAAAGGAAAAAGCGGTTGTTTTTTTTAATACAATAACAATAAAATGTCCATTTAAGAAGCTTATCTGAAAATATGAAATTAATTGAAATTGTTTTGGTAATAATTTTATCTTATTTATAATCCATGCATAATATCCATGCATTAAAAATAAAAAATTTCAAACTTTATTTAGGTGCAATCGTATTGGCGATTCACAAAAAAATACATTGCTGGATGATTTGTGGACCTGAGTTAGCTTGATGTATAAATGAATTTGAATCAAATTTACTATACACAGAAAATGATGAAGATGATTTTGTGGAAACAAGTTTTAAACATGAGCAAAATAAAAATCATCAAAATTGGTTTGTGTCTTAAATTATGAATTTAGTTGATGTAATTTCAAACATGGGTAATCCATTTAAAGAAGAAGGCCTAGATCTTCTGGTGCTTGATACCCATGATATCAAAAACAAAGATATATTAATCATATTGCTGGTCACAATCATTGTGTAAGAATCCATCATTGCCTAATCCATGTGAATTATGGAAGACAATATTTACAAAATTGTTTGGATGACAATCAGGAAGCTTCCAAAATGTGCAGTGAACTTATATGATGTGTCTGCAAAATAGAGAAAGGTTGTAGAGGTCTTTGTAAATGTGTAAAAGCATTACTTCCATGTACAGTACTTTGTAAATGTGATGGTGGTTATGAGAGTTTAATTCATAATTTACCAAATGTTTTAAATAAAACAGGTTTTCAAAGTTTATTTAAAATTTTAGGTGATAACTTTTGATCTGTAACATTGTGTATTGAAATATTTATAAAATAATAAAATAAAGTATTTTAGTATTATTTTGAATTTTTTTTTTTAATTTTTATTAAGGTTAAACTATTTGTGTCATAAGAACATTTAATTTAAATTGAAAAATGCGATTGTGAGCATCAAATTCATTCACCCAAAAGTTTTACCGAAAGATTTAAATATAACAAATTTATTAAAAATTTTAAACTTTCGAACATAGTGTTTTCAACTATTATTAGATATTAAAATTAAAAATTTTAGTATTATTTATAAATCTTATATTTTAATTTTCATTAAGGTTAAACTATTTGTGTCGTAAGAACATTTAATTATAATTGAAAATATGGTTTGACACAAATATATTACGCTTTTACCCCTTTTAGGTTTTCAAAGCCCTGCCTCTTGTTACCGATTTATTTTAACATATTGTGTTTTTATATTTTTTGCTGCATTTTTAACAAGCTTTTGATTGATGCATAAATGACCATTTTTAAAGATTTTTTTTTGCTACGGACATGATCCGGTTACCACGGAGACAGGTAGAGCTATTTTGGAAGTTGGTCTGAATCTTAAAATGATCATTTCAATATAATCAACATTTCGGCCAAGTTTCATGCTTTTGCCCTAAATAGGACAAAAACATATAAATTTGTCACCAGTTGACATCACTATATCATTCAAACATTTAAGTGGTTTTTATAACATTATTCACTTTTTTTATATTACTGCCTAACAGAGATTTTAAAACGAATTTAAATTTTAAAAAGAAGCTCAACCAAAATCGCTTTAGGCCTACGTAAAACATCATAAACGTGCACATAAATTACAGGCTAAATTAAGTACTATTATAATAAAATATTATTAATAATATTTAAGGCAACGTTTAAATATCTATATTTTAATTTCATATGAATGTTTAAATATGTATATTTTAATTTCAATTATTTTGCAACTTTTGTGTGTGACTTTTGTTTGTTACCACACATGAGCAGTATTTAAACAATTGCTTTGACTCTATGATACATAGTGCTAAAATTTGTATTTTTCTGTTCTGTACATGATTTCATTTTAAACTTAATTTACTCTTTAATAACATTACTAATGTATACCATCCTTTGTTTACAAAATAATTGTATATATTAGGATTAAGTAAGAGTAAATAAGATTGTCAGTTTTATTGTAATGAAAGTAATAGACAAAACATTTACAGTTTTCCGTGCGTAATTTTTTAGAGATACAAATGTAATTTTCAATCATATCATGCTCTGATTAGTAAATCAGCATGAAATAGTTTACTAATCTAAGTTAAAGTAAAAGATTTTAAAAAGTTCTCTGTAATAATAACTAAACAATTCTCTGTAATAATAACTAAACAATTCTCTGTAATAATAAACAATAAGAAATAATATGAATTGTGAAAGGTATGAATTCAATACCAAATAATATAGGAAATTAAAAAAAATATATATATATTAAACTGTAAAAACAAAAAAACCATACATACATGCCCATAGATACCTAGAAAAATATATATATATCTGTGGTCAGGAATTATGTCAGTCTAGGTATATTTTGTGGTCTCCAAAAATATTTGAAACAAGTTTTATTTGTACTTTTTGTCCATGCTGGAGTCTTCCTCTTTTATTTATTTTTTAAACAGGCTCAAATAGAATTTTCATTTTGGTAATAGTTTATTAAAGTAATTGTGTCTGTCTACATACTCATACAAAAGTTTAAGCACAACCTGCTAAAAAGAGAGTGTTATAATGCTCTATAGATCATAGCTTGCTGCTGTCTTATTGGAAGGGAATATAACTTCATACAAAATTAACACAAAACAAACTCTAAAGAATGTTATCTGAAGAAGTCACCAATCTGTAATAACTATTTTTTTTTCTACGTTGTTTTTACAATAATTCTAAGCTGTTGTTTTAAAATTGTACACTTTTTAGATTATGTTTCCGCATCAGATCTGTCAGAACTATTTAATTCATATTAGTTTTTTTTATATTTTTTTTAAATAACAACCAAATGTGACGTCACAATTGGCAAAGAACTTTATAGGATAAAAAATTTAATTTTAAAAACAAAAAAAAAAATATATATATATATATCAAGTTAATTTATCTAATAGTTAAAGTGTATTTACATTAGTGTATTTACATTAGCTAATTCAAAGCTAAGTTATTTAATTTAACTGAATTAAAAACAAATATCTGAGGATTAACAGGTGACAAATGGTGTAGCAATAGAGGTAGAAGATACTATAATTTAAATGTTCACCATGACATAATTATGTTTCCGCATCAGATCTGTCAGAACTATTTAATTCATATACGTTTTTTTTATATTTGATGTATAAATGTTAAAAAAGATTGTCACAAAATTGTGGGCCGCAAAGAAACTGAATCAGATATTCAAGCAGAAGTGGAAACTGATGGAGACTGATGGAGAATTGCTTATTAACTATTTGGAGGAAAAGATTGAATGTGATAAGAATATTGAAAAAATTTTAAAGAAACTTTGAATACTTATTAAGTTCTTGAAATATTCATTGTTTCGATATGAAGTTCTAAAAGAAACACGAAAACCACAGTTCTTTGCATAACAAAGTATTGCTGCTCGATAACCGCACTAGATGGAAACACTAGATGGAACAGTGTTTTTGAGTCGATATAAAGATTTTTGGATATGATATGATAGACACCCAAAGAACTAAACTGCCTTCACATGTTAAATGACACTAACTTGGATTAGTTGAGATTGCTGTCTGATTTATTAAAAGTCATTGCTGCATTTTACTTGGAAAAACAAAATACAACAGTTTGGAGTGTGACATTGTTTTGGAAACGTTAGTTAGCAAATTGAAGATTGTAGAAACTGACATCAGTTATAAATTTGCAAAGGCGTTAATCTCCAGTAAAAAAAGTACTAAGAAATAAAAAAAGTTCTTTTTTTAAATTTATAATGAATCATAAGTTGAAATATATAATATTAAAAAAATAATAACACAAGTACAATGTTTAATTATCCATTTGATTATTTAATTCTTTATTTTTTAAAAAAATAAAGAATTAAATACAAAACATTATCGAAACTTCGTTTTTTTCTTGACTCTGATGGAGTTTTTTTTTCGATTTCTCTTAACTCCATTTTTTCTCGATTTTGGATCATTTGTTCCAAACCTTTCAAGGCCATCACAAAAGCTGGCCGTTTAAGTCAAAATAAAAAAAGATTGCTAGAACATAAATGGATAAAAGCTCAAGTTTGTTACATGGTGAGATTCAGCTTGATATCTTCAAACAACCAAGAGCAGCTGTCCAGTTTTTTACTTGGTACCTCTGTATTGACTAGGCAGAAAAATGTTCTATATTTGTCTTTGAAACCCTGGAATTTGTTGCATAAGAGTTCCTGAGTTTTAAGACCTTGGAACTTGTTGCTATCAGTCAAAGCTTATCTTTAGCTTACCCTTTCTTAGAGGGGATAAGCCAAATTCATGTTTATCCTTAGCTTATTCTCTCTCAGAACGAACCATCTGTTTCAGCGACTATTTTGTATAGCATATGTTATCTTTTCAGTAAAAGCTTATCTTTGACTTATCCTCTCTTAGAGAGAACTATGTTTTTCAGTGACTGTTGTGTATAGCATATGTTATCTTTTTGCGGATCTTTAGAAATGTCTCCTGATAAGATTTAACTTAGAAGACACAAACTTATACAAAGCCATTCAATGGCAACTCCAACAGTTTTTTTGCAACAGTTTTTTGTTTTTGTGTCTTTGTACAAAAAAAGTTTGTAAGAGTATTTACAGTATGCACCCAAAACAAAACAGTTTAAAATTGCTATGAAGGTAGCATATTTAAAATTGTTGGTGATAAAGTGATCATGTTGTGTATGACTGGATAAAGGGAGCTGCTCAGACTTTATTAGCAGACCATGTTGAAACTATTCTTAACTTGATTCTTCACAGCTTTCCAATACTAACATGTCCTTGCCATTATTTACAGGCTGGATATTCATTTGCAGGTAATTGGGTTTTTCACTTTGTATTTGAAATATGCAATAGTTTTGATGTTTCTTATATATTATCATTTGTACTAGTGTTTCTACTACTATTTAGGAATTCTTTGATTCATTTCTTGTTTTAGATTTTTACTTATCCTATGTCATGATTTTCCTCTAACTCTCTTTATTATCGAAGAGAAATGTTTATCAGTCAAATCAATAAAGATATTGAAAAATTTGAGTTTATTGATAACATTCATACAATGGATTCTAGTCAATATTTAGTAGGTCTTTGATAAGATTTTCTTGTAGATTTAATTTATAATGTCAACAAGTAATTTAGATTTTTTTTTTTAACTATGTTCTTCTTCCTAAATGTGCAAATTAAAGGATCAGATGCACATAAAAAATGCTTAAAAAGTTTTTTTTTTCCGATTGGATTTTCTTGTAAAGTTTTCACGAAAGATCTTAAAAACCTTATCAGTAGTCTTTTAAGCCTCTTCAGAAAACATACCTAATAAAGTAAATAATAAATATATTCAATAATAAATATATTCACTATTAATCAAAATCTTATGTTTGGGTCATAAAAAACATTGGTATAGGTCTACATTGGTATAAGTCTACAGCAAGCAAAACAGTTTCCCAACAGAATGTTCTAAATTTTGATGAGTTAATCTCATAACTACATTACATTGCAGCCAGAATAATATGAAACTTTTTCATAAAGTCTACATTTATGTTTAATGTATAAGCGAAGACATCATTTTGCTGAAAAAATTTTCTAGGTGTGTTACTATCATTTGATGTACCTACCCCATTTACTCTTGGTTAATCAATGAAACAGCCCATCTTTTTTCGAAATTCAGCTTGGAGTTCAACCTTTATCAGCTTAACAATATTATTTTTGTCTTCAGTCCTAGCCTGTCTCTTTATAGTTGGCATCTTGTAAGATATATTATATATTACATTCTAAATATACATTCTAAAAACTTTATCCAAACATGCAAAGTTGAAATGCAATGTCTGATATTGCCTTCTAATGCTTTTTTTTTTTTTTAACTTCTAAAGATAGGTTGTTCATTTCCATGCTTCACACGCTAAACAACATTTGTAAGAGTTAAATGCTGTGTAAATAATAGTTTGAATTTTTCCATCTATCATTGTTAAATTTACAGTATGTTGTACTTCTACTTTCTTCATTGTACTGTCCTCCAATAGAACAGATGCAATGGATATTCTATTTTCACAGAAACCATAATTGACTCATATCCTGCAATCTTTAAGCACAGGTGAATTTAAAACAACATTATAGGCTTAACATAATCTTGATGCAGCATAAAAAAGAAAATCTTGCAATGGTATATCTGCAGAGTAGTCACTGAGTTGAATTTTTTCAAAGTAGCATTTATATTTAGCTTTTATTTTTATCTTTTGCTTCTAGAACTTCTTTATCTCTTTTCTCACATGTAAAACATCATCATTTTGTAGCAAATTATTTTTTATTAATAATTAATAAGACATATTCTATTCATTTTCAAATGACTGTTAGTTATTTTGTAATAAAGTAAACTTAAATATGTTGTAATAAAGTAATTTAAGCTTTTTTGCAGGTTTTTTACAAGCCGCTATCTAAGAAATTTATTTTATTTTTTATTGGTTGTTACGTGTAAATATTATTGTTTTCAGAAATTATAAAAATTTAATGTCTCAAACTTGTACAAGATACAAGTTACATAAAATATATTTTGTTACAGTTTTTGAGTTTTTATTAAAAAAATAACTTTATAAATTAAACTTCATTAAATAGATAAGCATAAAAAAAGACAAATAATAGTTTCAATAAGATTTAAATGTTTATTGAGCGAATACTATAAGGTAACTAGAAAGCATCAAAATAAAAAGCATTTATTTTTTTTATAAACTCAAGTTTATAAAAAAAATTATTTTAAAGTCAAACTGCAGTTTTTTTTATTTTAAATTCTCTTAAATATAATATTATCAATAATTATCGATAAAAAACGCAACAGCTAGAAAAATAAACAATGTTATCGAATTTAAAAGTGTATTTGTTTAGGCAGATATAGGCAAGCAATTTTAAACCATAAGATCAATACTGTACTGGTGTTTAATGATATATAATTTAAAGTGATTGACACATGTTGATCCATTGATTTTGAATATGTTTGAAAATTTTTTTTCCACTCAAAATTTACAATGTTTTCTTTGTTAAAATTATTTATATAAAATGCAAACATAATAATTTTTTATCTAATTTAAATATATACATAATAATATATAAGTTATTTATACAGTAAAACAAATAAACTTAAAATTATTTAAAAAAAAAGAAATGGAAGTTTTAAAAATATATAAAAAAAATAAGATTTTTCTAATTTTATTTTACGAAAAGTATTTAAGAGGATATTTATATATCAATTTTGATATTTTATTGCAAAGTTATTATCAAATAAAATATAATTTCTGGCTTATTAATATGTTGAGCGACTCTTGGCACTGCATATGTATAGTTTTTTAATTTTATTTTTCTGTTTTTTAGTTTTATAATTTAGGGAGAGAAGGAAAAAGAGAAAATATGTAGACTTTTTGGGGATAAATACTGTGTGATACAAGATTAGAAAAAATCTACTATTTTTTTTTTAATCTTCAGTTAATGAATATACACATACTGTATTTACTCCTACTTAACTCATTAAATGTATAATATATATATTTCATTATATTTATAATTACATTATAAATACAATAGTTTTCTATAAATAAATACTATATAAGAGTTTTCTATAAATACAATACAAGAGTTTTCTATAAATAAACATAGTGTACATACATCAACTGAGGATTTAAAAATATAAATTGTAGATTTTTTCTGACTTTGTTTTTATTTATTTATTGATACTTTTTTTATAGCTTGAAAATGCGAAAGGTGATATTCTAAGATTTCTTTCTGAATTTTGCACTAAAAAGCTTGTTAAATTTTACATCAAAGGGATCAAGGTAAATAAAATAATTTTAAAAATAATGTATTTTTTTAAATTCTTTTATAATATTTTATGTATATAATAAATGTTTAATCTTCGTTACATATGTATAATGTATATTATATATATATATATATATATATATATATATATATATATATATATATATATATATATATATATATATATATATATATATATATATATATATATATATATATATATATATATAATATATATATATATATATATATATATATATATATATATATATATATATATATATATATATATATATATATATATATATATATCAGCATTTGGTTGGCAAAAACCAAATTTTTTGCCATCCTCAAACACTTTAAGGTCTGCAGTTAGGTTGACATTGCCGAACAATTAATCACAAAAGTTCCATCAAAGCTTCTCTTCCATCAGAAGATCTTGTTAACAGAGTTTTATTAATAATTTAAATTAATTACAGCTCTGAAAATTTTAATTTCACAGCTCTGAAAATTGACACAGCATTTATGGAAAGTCCATTTTATCAATCTGCAAAACCCTTTATTAATGCCATCAAGTAGTTAACAATTCTTTAGAAAGTGTAATTGTACTGGCAAAAAATTTTAACAACAGTATCAGCAAACAATATGTAAAATATATTGTATATTATATATATTTAATGTATTTATTTAACATAAATTTTTTTCAAAGTTGTGTTAAGTTCATAATTGGCTTACATGTTTAACACGTTCACTCCGGCGTGTACCACCGGTGGTACACGCCGCCCAATGAGACAGTCTAGTGTGTACCACCAGTGGTACACGCTGCCCAATGAGACAGTCTAGTGTGTGCCATCGGTGGTACACACTGGCGTGAACGTGTTAAAAAGAAGGCATTTTGTGATTTTTAACAAAAAATTTTTTTAATTTTTTTAATTTTTAGTTACTATTTTGGATAAGCAAGAATTAAAATTTTTAATGTGAAACAAAGTAAATGATAATAATTTTTAATAATGAAAATGACTTTTTTAAATGTGGGTCTTTTTTTTATACTATTTAGGAAACATGTTTGGCTTTATTTTTTTGTGATACATCTGTTAAAGTAAAGATTGAAGTAATACATGTTATTGAGAAGGTAATTAACTTTATTTGGTTATTTAAAGATTGCCATTTAAGTCAAATTTTTTTTTTATTGTTCACATGACATCAAATGTAACTAGTATTCATATAATTTAGCAATTAATATTTTCAATTTTCTTTTTTTAAGATGTTTGTACTTTAGGTTCAGGGTGAATAAGACAATTAAAAATGTTTTTACTTATCGGTACTCGTCTTGCTTTTCTGATGACCTTAAAAGGCCACCAATCACCAGCAATTACATCCAAAGATTAATCAATAGGTTTTTTTTGCCAAATTCAAAGGGGTAGTAGAGCATATCATCTATTTTGTCCGATAAATATTGCATACAACAACTGAAATATTATTTTAATAATGAATTTTAATGTTGAAGACACTTCAAGTACGAGTTTTCCATTTGATGCCTTGTAGTGCACTTGGATATTGATTGGTTTAAGACATAAATTCAGTTTCAGAGAATATTTGATGATCCATTTAATTTTTTTTGTAAGATGGCATTTAAATGATGTTTTTCATTGTATCATAAAACCCATTTTGTTTTCAGGAAAAGATAGTATTTTTTGAGATGTTTAATCTTTTTGTGATTTCTAACTCCCAGCACATGTTTCATTCAGGTTAAAGAAAATGCTTAAAAAAATGTTTAGGCTTAGTTTTTTTGTGAGAATACTTGATAATCCTAATGGTTTTTTTTGATGACATTTACATGATGTTTTTAATATATTTTTTTATCATAAAATCTATGTGCATCATAAACATCCTTGAATTACACACGCATTTACAGGTCTTATTTGATGTTTAATTATTTAAGAGTTTAAATATATGACTTTGGCAAAGGTTTGTAGATATTCATGGTTTAAAATTTTCATTAAAAAACTGAACTGAATTTAATATCAGCCATCAATAAAAATAATAATTTTTTTTTAAGATTTTTTTGTTACTATATAGATATTGGTTTTGTACTATATTTAATGATTATTTTAAAGTTTTAACCAACAGAAAAAACCCAAGACCAAGGTAGCTATCACAATAGAGGAGGTCTTTTTTTAAAAAAAACTTTTTTATAACACTCTCTCAATTTTATAACACTCTCTCATTGATTGCAATAGTTGACATATTATGACAATAATTCAAGACAATTGACAAGTGATATTAAAACAGTTGGTGATTTAAATTGTCAAAGCATCGTAACTACATTTAAAAAGTGTATTTTAAAAATGCAAACATGTATTAAAAAAGTTATATTTGGCATATCCCATTTATTGTATCTTGAAAAAGTTCTATGTTAAAACTCTTAACATTTAAAGTTATAAACTATCATAATTATCATAATTAAAAATTATCATATCATAATTAAATTATAAACTATCATAATTAAACTAGCTTTATAATAAGCTACAATTTTAAAATTATCTTCTTTTTTCTAATTTTTACCCATAATCATAATTTTCATTTAAATTAGAAAACTTAGTAGATAAGTAAAACACACTATACAAAATAAATTCAATTAAATTCTTACATAGATAAATAATATGAAATTTGTCAAAATGTGAATAAAATCAGAATATGACTTTTGTCAAAATGTGAATTTTCGCCATTTACAAAATAACTATGCCATAAAAGTTTGCAAGATATATACCTCACTATTTAACTATATTATGAGGTAATGGTGTAGTCGTGGTCTCTCTTTGTAAGCAAGTGGTTTCAAAGTGGTTCAATCTCCACCATTTCGCTTGTATTACCACTTTAAATTTAAATCTTTATACAGTGGCCATATTTGTTTTTTACTTGTCATGTTTATGTTTTTTATAACACTCTCTCAATTTTATAACACTCTCTCATTGATTTGGTCAATTCTCATATTTTTGGTCTTTGAAGTAATTTTTTGTTTATTGAATCATACTTCTTACAAAATTAGACCTAGTCACCCATGAAATTTTGCAATGCTTATGCTCAAAAATTTTTATTTATTTTTCCTTTCACATCAATGCTGTGAAGTTCTCTCTTTCTTATTTTTCTTATACACACAATTTACAATTTTATTACATCTTCTTTAGAGAGTCTCGTCTATTTACCATCTATTTCACATACTTTTTAAGGACCTTGTTTAAAGGGCCTCTTCTATTTCACATTTATTTCACATACTTTTTAAGGACCTTGTTTAAAAGGCCTCATCTATTTCACATACTTTTTAAGGACCTTGTTTAAAGATCTATTTCACATATCTTTTTAAGGATCTTGGCTGTTTTATGTACTTTTATTTGTTGATCACCTACCACTATATCTGACAGATTTCAAATGGTTGCATGTGTTGTGAAAGTGTTTTAAACACAAATGTGTGAATTATCTTCAAGCCTTGTATGCCTTCATTTTAATTTAATTATTTGGTTGTACACAAAGTAGGGTTATGACAAAAAAAGTAGTTTTTTAGCCTGTAGTAAGAATAAATGAACATTTTAATTCTGATTAAGAAAATCACATTTACCACCTGACAACATGGTTTCCGCATCCAGACACCTGACAAGATACTGAGTATCATATATTACCAAAAATATTTCTTTCCAAAAGTATATCAAGTTGGATTCAAAAGAAGTGTAATTTCATAGAAAGTTTAAAAAATTTAAGGCTTTATTATAAAAAATCAATTTTTTTAAACTTATTGTTAAAAAACTAACATTTTTAAACAAAAGTTTAAAAATTATACTTTTCAAAATGTTTTAAAACATTATTTTCTTTAAGAAGGTTTAATGAAGATTGTTCTTTATAAAAACTCAATAAAATTTCACTTCTTTTGAGGCTCAAGATGGTGTACTTTAGGATAAAAAATATTTTAGGTAAAAAAATGACACCTACTATATGGTCTGGTTTCTTGGTGCAGGAACTTTTTTCTCAAAAGTTTATCATTTGTGAACACAGGAGATACGCAATTTTGCAAAACTATTTTCAATCATAACCCTAGTGTACACTGGTTGCAAATGAAGGAGTAGAGTTTTATATACTTTTTATAACCATAAATTTGTTTAAACACAAATCTTGAGTAACAAGATGAAGTTTGAAGTGTGATAAATAAAACGTAATACAAAGAACAATTAAATTTTTGTTTTAGATAATGTTGCTGCCAGATATTAATCAATTTGCAGTTGATTTGGATATAAAGAGTTTAATTTCAAAGTATGTTAATTTTTTTTTTTGTATTAGTTATTTTCATTTTTATTTTGTATAACAAGTATACTTATTATGAATTGCAGTTTATTAAATAGATTTAAAAAAAAAGAAAAAATAATAAAACACTAAATTATAATATATAAGAAAACTTAATTAAAAAATAATAATATTTACAAATATATGTGTATGATATATTCGTATATTTATTAAAATTTATATATACAACATATAATTAGCAATAAATATGAAATAAATCATACATAAAGTAATTATTAATATTATTTAGATTTTGGTCTGAGTGCTTAAAAAGTGCTAAATACAGTTCAACAAGTAAGACTTATTCAATTAACAAATTTTTCTAAAGTTGTTAAAATTTCTCTAAAGTTGATTGAAATTGTAATAAAATGTATTAAAGATGATTTCAAAATTATAAGTAATTTAAAATGCCAAAAAAAAAAAAAAGAGTAATACTTAGTTGCTTATAATTTTTGATAATATCATTATTGTTAATAATTAACATAATTCGAAATTTTTTTTTCATTCTTTAATTTAACAAATTTAATCTGTCTTTGCATGCAACATCAGTAATACCTGTAAAATTTTATGTGTACATTTTGATGAATTGCATTTTATTTAATAAAATTTTCAAATCATTTTCAAAAGTTTTATAATTTTTTTTGATAAAAAGCGTAATAAATTAACATACATAATATGTATATTACGCATAGATGTTAAATGCCATAAACAGCTTTTTCTCCATAAATTACCACAAAGTGTTTAGCAAGAGTTATGTTATATGTAACATCACAATTAAAATGCTAAGTTTTATTTACTTTTAGTGAGAGGAGAATTGTATAACCTGATGGGATCATTTGCAAAGGTGGTTCCTGAATTAATGACAGAAATCAATGAACGCCTTTTATCTCTTTTTTTGAGTTTTTTAAAACAAGAAATGGAGGTTTGTTAGTTTTTCATTGGAAGCATAACAGTAATAATTTATGATCAAATTACCTATATGTTTATTACTAATAAATATTTAAAAGTTTAATTAAAATACTTCTTTATTGTTTTTTATTGAGAAACAAAAACATCTATTCGAACTGTTAAGTAAACTTTGCAATTTATAAAACTCATTAAGTTTTTCTGCAAATGTTTTTTTTTTCTTTAACTGAAGTAGTTTATGTGCAAATGTTTAATTGAAATAATTTATGTGCAAATGTTTAATTGAAATGGTTTAAGTGCAAATGTTTAACTGGAATGGTTTTCTTGCAAAATGTTTGTTGACAGGTATGGTTTTGTTGCAAATGGTTTCTGCAACTAATTTTGATGACACTAGTCACAAAAAGGTTTTTTGGGTAGTTAAATTATGTGGCTGCTGTTGAGTGTACTTAAATAAAGCTCACAGTGAGTGGCGTAATACTGCTTAGCTTTTGTCATACATGCTATAAAATACTTTAATAAGTGGCTCCACAGAGTTTTTCTCCATCAAAATAAAATGAAGCATCAAACACTAAGAATATTTTGTCACTAGCAGCTTGGGTATATTGTTAGTATATACTTTAAACTATTGCAAGAGTCATTCATATTAAATGTCTAGATATTCAGAATAACACTCATTACAGGCTATTTGTATCAATATATTTATTGGAATGGTGAAATACTGCTTTGAACTAAGAGCAATTTGATCATAAAGTTCTTTGGAGGTAACTACCTCATACTACGGTGCAATACTGTTAAGGATGTAGTTTACAGCTTCCCCTGTCTTTGTAGAAATGTTAACTTGGTTCTTGTTAGCAATAGTTAATATGATATTTAAGTTGGTCACCAAATGAGCTAGGGTGAAAAGGTCTATTTTCTAATGATTGGTTGAATTTTAGTGGTGTGCTGTATTTGCTTTTTGGGTTTAATCCAAAGGCTTGGCTGAAAGCAATATTTGGACCAGTGGTGGAGCAAATGGAAGCTCTAAATCATAGTAATGTAAATTTACTCGGATCAGATGGGTCGTCACAACCTTGCAACCTGCTATGACACGCTGAGTGGCAAATAAAAAATGTGTGCAGCCCAGTAGTGTTCAAATCAGCAGATTTGATTGACAATCAAATCTGCTGTGGATCTGGACATGGGCTACTAGATTTAATCAATATTCAAATTAAAAATTTCAAAGTTGATTAAACACATTAAAGATAAAGTTGATGTGAAAATCTAAAAGTTCTTGAAGAAGATTTAAAGGGATGGCTCAGGCATCTCGTTTTGAGCTGTGTACAAGAGTATATTACTTTCTTATCTCTACACTTTTCTACCACTAGGAAAATAGAAGAATTTGACTGCCACTGTTATGTATACTAAATATAATGAATTTTGCATTTAATCTTATTATCATTTATTCTCACTTAGTCAGGCATCAGCATGTTGTGATACTTCTACAATAATGCTATACTCTAGTGATCCTTTCACAAGATCACTTTACAGATTCCATACGTATTACATTATAATTCATAGACTTAGTTGCTTGGCAATAATTCTTAAAAAAAAAGAAACAAGTTTAAAATAACATTATCTTTGTTTATTCATGGTGAAAAAAAACAAGGGTTTATTTCATTTAAAATATGGCTGCGGGACAAATTCTAGAAAATACAAGCAATCTTTAAAGCCAGATTCTGAGATTTTATACATTCTCAGGTTCTATACAAGCTTATACTGTTAAAATTTTTTCAGTATAGTTGACACCTTACAGCGCCATTGTAGGCTCCACAGCTTCAGCGTTGATGCTCAAAACAATTTCAGCTCTACTTAAAATACAGCAAGTGGGAACCTATTTCTAGCATCTTGTTGAAACCTTTCTCTTTTTACATAACAATTGTTTACATTTAAGGTGTGATAGAGTTTCCACTACCTGAGCAGAGTAAATCTCACTGCAATTTTTTTCTAAGATCTTTTTCTTTTTGCATAACAATTGGTCAGTGAACTTTTAACTTCTATGTAGCAAATCAGCCCATAAGCCAGTCTTGCTCAACAAGTAGCTCTTGATTGCCTGGTTACATCAAAGTATTGAAGCGTTTTTAACACCACAGTCAATGGTCAAGACCAAACCCAAATCAGTAGTATACTTCACCCTCCATTGGACAGGAGTTATTCTTAAGCACATTTTGATCTCCTACTTAGGAAATGGTTTATGCCTTTGTTGCTGAATGTCATCCTTACAGTGTATTCTAAATACAATGACTTCAGGTGACATTTTTTCTTGAGTTTTTCATAAGTTATTTTTATCTTGAGTATTGTCTACATTTAAGATGTGATAGGGTTTCCAGTACATGAGCAGAGTAAATCTCACTGCCATTTTTTCCTAAAATCTGTATAAAAATTCATTAGCAGTAGGTCTATGGATATCATGATTAGCTGGTAAGTAAATTTGTCTTATGACCTGCTCCTTTAACCACTCTCTAGCAACATTATTAAAAACCTTTATAGCTGTTGCAAGTTTCTTGATAGCAGATAGTCTGCTCCAATATCTTTTATATCCAATACCTTACTCTAATACTTTACTAATGCTTACGGTAGTTTTTCTTCCATTGCAAATATATTCTTAAGCTGAATGAGTCTGAGTCTTTAACATTCTAATAGTCACAATAAGTTTTTGTGACTCTACAGTATTTAATAGATTTAAGATTTACTAGTTAACTTCAATGTAGTTAGCTGATTCACTTCTGTTATTTGCTTGTAGTTGTGTAAATGAGTTTAGTTACTGAACAAAATAAGTGTAAATGTAGCATAAAATAAGTGTAAATGTAGCGTAAAATAACTGTAAATGTAGCATAAAATAACTGTAAATGTAACATAAGTTAGTGCTATTGTTAAAATCCTTGATTATACGTTTATGATTACAGCTGCAACAATAAAAAGCAACCATTTTAAATGTAGCATTTGTATTTATTAATAACGAATGAATTATTATATTTTATATATAATAGTATATGTATTGGTTGTAATGAAGTAATAATATTTATATTGTTAATATATGTATTGGTTGTAATGAAGTAATAATATTTGTAATATGTAAGTCCTTAGTTGGAATTTTTTTTAATATTATTTTTGTTCGCTCTTTTAACTATTTTTTAAACTAATTCAAAAGTTTTTATTTTTTATTAGTCAACTAAGAAAAAGAAACCTGAGCTTCTAGTGATAGCAGGTTGTCTTAATGGATTGTCTGGTTACCTCGTTCACTTTACTCAATCATGTGCTGAAAGTAATTTTTTTTTTCTTTTGACATAAGATTTCACTATTTTATTTTTTTTGTGAAATATTCAAAAATTGCAAATTCAATATTTTGTGAAATAATAGTGTTTTATTGTATTTTCTTGTAATGACATATTGGTTTTTAAGTGTACCATATTCTTTTTAATATCTTGTTACTTTAAAGAAAATTTTTGATTTTATTTTTAATAGTACTTATATTTATTTATATTGTTGCTCAGTGATTTTTTGTTTGATATATAAATTTAGTAGAATAATTTTTGATGTCCTTTACTTTGAAGAACTAAATACGTTTTTAGAATTTCTTTTCTTTTTTGCAAACTATTGACATTAAACAAAAAACCCCAAACTTTTAAATAATTCCCCCACTAAATATTTCTCTCATTATATAGATTTTACTATAGACCGTTCAGAGTCACTTTTATTGTGTTTTTGATTTAATGATTTTTTTTTATAAATCAAGGCTCAAAATATGCAAGCATCATCATGAAATATGTGAAAATGTGTATTTTACTTACAGTGAGTATTATATAAATTATTTTATAAGTGTTAACAGTTCTGCAAATATAATTAAACTGCTTATTCCCCTTTTTTAGACTCTTAACTTTTGAGCAATTAGAATAAAAAGCATTTTGTGAATGTTTATTTGAAATTTTAAATATTTTAGGATTATAGCAGATATGATGTTCCAAAAGGTTAAAATTTTAATTCTATTTATGTATTGTATAATTTCGTATATTACTTAAAAATATTATGATTGCATTTACCTTATTTTTATTTGTTTAATTTTATACAAGTTGTTTTTATTTTAATTTTAAATTTAAAACAAGATAAAATATAGAAAAACATTTTCTAAAAAATATATTCTTTTTTGTACTAAAAAGTAAAAAATAAACTTTTTGTTTTTAATTTAAATTTAAAAGGTCAGTAAACTAAACTAAAGATTGCCAGGTCTGCACTTGATTCATTTCAAAACACAAGTATCAATTTTTAGTTTACTAAACTATTAAATTTAAATTAAAAAGTTTATTTTTTACTTTTTAGTACAAAAAAGCTTATATTTTTTAACTATTTTTCTGCTCTATTTTATTTTACTTGTCTTAAATTTAAAATTAAAGAGATTTAAAGAAATTAAATTGTTTTCTGTTTTTTAGTCTTTACAATGAGTTATGGTATTTAACAATTTGAACATTGTTATGTAGCATTGTTATTGTTACACTGCTATATTATTATTAAACAGTGTCCTGGCTACAAGAAAGAAGAGTTGTGTTAAGTTCCTTAATATCAACATTAGTGCAATATTGGTGCAATATATTTGTCTCAATGTTGGCTAAATGTTGTTGACAATATAGCACCAATATAAAAGTCTATTTTGATATATATTGATATATATATATATATATATATATATATATATATATATATATATATATATATATATATATATATATATATATATATATATATATATATATATATATATATATATATACATTTGACGTTCTTTATGCTATTAAAAACGAAGCAAAAATGGAAATGACTTGAAACTTCCCAAAAATGTTGAATACTATTACATAATTTAATATGCAAAAGTCTTAAACTTTTTGTTAAACAAATCTGGCTACTGTCTTGAAAAGGGCCTCCTAGGCAAAGACTTAAAGGGGTAAATAGATTCTATCTGTTGACTAGCCTTGTACCCCTTTTTCATCTATTAGGCTGGCGCAGATGTATTTTTAACACATTGTTTCCAGGTTAGGATGTTGAATGCTGGATCTTCTTGACTCAATGCATAGGTTTTGCTTGTGTCTCTGTTTTTATGACTAGGCAACTCATTCTATTATCTCCTAATGAGGGTACATCTCTAAATCTCAGTTTTATGGTTCAGAGGTTGGCTGGTAGTCAGGTTTCTCGAACTCTGTAGTAGCTTTCAGAGAGGCTGATTTCATCAACAGCTGAAAAATATCAAATTATTAACAGTGCCATGTTGCACATGGATGATGTCCCTGTTTGCACCAGAGTTTACCAGACCTACTTGCTCTTTGTGAGACTAATTTGAGTTCAGCTGTTTCATCTTATAATCTTAGTGTTGATGGTTATCTTCCTTTAATTTGTAAAAACTCGAATAGTCACATGCTTGGCCTGGGCATTTACATTTGTAAGAACTCACCCATTTGTCTGGAAACTAGGCTTGAATCCACAGACTATTCTTTTATGTGGTTTTGTTTAGCACCACTTTACTCTATTGCCTTTATCTTTGTTCTATATCTCTCCTTCATCTCAAGACTGTACTCTTTTTAATGTTATTTCTGATCAAATTGACCAACTTCTCTCTCTTTATCCATCAGCCAATATCGTTGTTGTTGATGACTTTAATGCCAATCACACTGAATGGCTTGGCTCTAATAGGTTCTGCTGGCATTAAGACCCTCAATTTTTGCCAGTCTCAATCTTTAACTCAAATAGTCAACTTCCCAACTCACGTTCCAGACAACCTGAATCATTTACCTTCCCTTTTTGACCTATGTCTTATTTCTGATCCTAGTCAGTGCTCAGTTTCTCCACATTCACCCTTAGGTGCTTCTGATCACGGTTTGATCTCTCTAAAACTATTATCTCATTCTTCTTCATCATCAGAATCCCTCTATCATCGTACCTCTTACAACAACTTTAAAACTAACTGGGACTCTCTCCATGATAGCCCTTGGGTAGAAATCATTCGTCTTCCTGCTGACAAATGTGCTTCTTACTTCTTGCTGTCGTCAATACTTTTAAAACTATTTAACAAGTACTTGTCAAAGTCTTGTTTTTCAGCATGCTGGAAAATGGTATCTGTTATCCCTATTTTCAAAAATTTTGGGAAGAGATCTGACTCTCTTTTATTTACCCATTAGTCTTCTTCCTATAATAAGCAAGGTTTTTGAATCTTTAATTAACAAACACTTATTCTCTCATCTTGAATCTAATAATTTTCTGATCATCAATATGGATTTTTTCCTTCTACAGCTGATTTGCTAACAGTAATAACCGATAGATTTTATTGTGCATAAGATAGAGGTGTAGAGGTTAAGGCTGTTGTTTATTTACATTTCTAAAGCTTTTGATAAAGTTTGGAATGCTGGTTTTCTCCATAAGCTTTCTTCTTACAGTGTTACATCTGGTAACATCTTTAAGATGTTACCAGATGTAACACAGATGTAACCTTTTTTTCCAATTGTAGTATGTCCTTGATAGTTGTCCTTGATGGACAGCACTCTTATTCTTATTCTGTAACTTCAGGGGTCCCTCAAAGTTCAATTCTTGGCCCTATCTTTTTTTTAATTTACATTAACGATTTTCCAGATATTCTCCCATCTAAGGTGGAATTGTTTGCTGATGACACTACCATTTATTCTTGTCCTGATAAGAAGCCAACACTCTCTGATTGCTTGAAAAGGATCTCACTTCTGCTACAGCATGGGGATCACAGTGGCTGGGGAACTTAAATTCAGATTAATCTCAGTTTTTTCAGCAAATCCTTATCACAATAGTTTAGATCTTCCTATATTTATAAACTGTAATGTATTCAATGAGTCATCTGCCCTTCATCTTCTTGGAATAACTCTTACTTCCAATCTTTCTTGGAAACCGTATATCAAATTCATTGCAAAATTAGCGTCTGCTAAGGTTGCATCTCTTTATTGAGACACTCTTAAAGTGGATTATATTCTTTATCTCTATAAATCTCAAATCTGACCTTGTATGGAATACTATTGCATAATCTGGGGTGGATCTTTTAATGATGCTCTTTCTCTTTTAGACAAGGTGCAAAAATGCATTGTAAACATAGTTGCACCTGCTCTTGCAGTCAACCTCTTACTATTACCACATCTTTGTAATGTTGCTTCTCTTTTTCTTTTCTACAAATACTATAACGGGCATTGCTCTAAAGTGCTAGCGTCTCTTGTGCCATCAACTAAAATTCATTCTTGTGTTACTCGTCATTCAATTAATTCTCTTTTTTTTTCTGTGACTGATCCTAAGTACTCCAAAAACTCTTAATTTATCTAGTTTTTTTCCTCGGACATCAGTTCTTTGGAGTTCCCTCCTTTTATCTTCCTTTCCTGATTCATATAATTTGCAATCTTTTTAGTCGTCTGTCAATCGTTATCTTGTTCTACAAACTTCATCTTTTCTCTTCCAGTAACTTCCAACTCTTATAGTGGTTGCTTGCAGCCTTCTTGGAAGCAAAGATGTAAAAATATATATATATATATATATATATATATATATATATATATATATATATATATATATATATATATATATTATTAATTTATCATCGCTATTATTATTTATATCTTTTATGAAGTTGGTTAAGAATATTTAAAGTTAATATAGTCAGTATTTTGCTGTTTATTATTAAGCCATTAGAATTTTATTTTTCTATTGAATCGTAAATAATTTAATTATTTTTTTCTTTTATATTACTACAAAGAATTTATTTATTTCATTTACTTAACAAAGCATTTTAAAGGGTTAAATACATTTTACTCTGCTTGATGTATATACATGCACATGCTACATGCACATGATATACATGCACATGCTACATGCACATGATATACATGCACATGCTTTTACATTTTATAATTTTATCTTTAGCTGCACTAACATTGCTGTATGTATTATGTTCGATCAATAAATGTATGTTTAAACAAAGCATGAAATGACTAAAAGAGTTATTCTTTTTAAATGCAAATTACTTGCATGTATATACATGAAAACTTACTAATTTTAAATTAGTAGCTAAAATCAAAATGTAATTGTTAAAAAATTGACAAAAGTTGTTACTTTATTATTTGGGGTTTCCCATTTTATTTAAAAACATAAGTAAAGATAAAAGATTTGAAGTTTGTTATTGCAAATATAACTAAAAATCTGATTTAAATAACCTTAGCATTTAATTTAAGCTGATTTTTATTTTAATTTTTTGTAATTTAGTTTTATTTAAATTATTTTTATTTTCTCTTTTGTTAAAAATTCTTTACTTTTTTTAACCTTTGAACACGACTGATATACATGCACATGTTTTTACATTTTATAATTTTATCTTTAGCTGCACTAACATTGCTGGCTCTCCATTCTTCCCAATTTAATGAGTTACTTACCTTGCAAGCAGAGGTTTTTTTTATTTTAAAAATGTTGTAATCGCACTGTTATTATATTCTATAATACATAGCTTTATATTTAAATCTAGTGTTTTAATATCTATATTATAAAACATTCTATATTCTATAAGACATGGAATAAAATTATATAAAACATTCTATATTCTATAAGACATGGAATATGATATGATATGGTATGGAATGTAAAACTAAGATATATCAAATTTTCTTGAGTTTTAAAAATAAAACGAAATTTGGTATCAGAGGTTCAGTCCAGAGCTTGAGTTAAGCACATCCTGGTTGCAAATCGCAGATTTATAATTTCAGGTTTAAAAATTTTGTGTGGTTTTTGCGCCTTCATGATTAATTTTTTGTTAACAAAATTTTTTTTTTGTTGTTGTGATTTTTTTTCTTTTCTATTTTAGCTTTTTTGATCATTCTTAAAAATATAAAATAAATGTATTTTTCTGAGGGTTTTAGTAGGGGTCATCCATAAAGTACATCACGCTGAAGGTAACTTTTAAATAGAAGTATGGGATCATTTGTTATTTTTTCAATCAACATTTTGAATTTTAAATACTTAAAAAATACTGCATGGAAGCCAATAATTTTCTACTTTTATTTTAAAGTTAAATTTAGTTTGATAACTTTATAGAAAAAGTGAATCACACTAAATTTACCTAAAATATAAATCAAAACCATAAAATGTAAATCAAAATTTTTTGTTTTTATTTTTTTATTTGCATTTACTCCCAACAAGGCTGCAAGCAACCACTATTAAGTTGGGAGTTACTAAGAAAAAAAGAACAGAGTTATAGAGCAAGGAAACGGTTGACAGAAGACTTGAAAAGTTGAAGGTTGTATGAGTCAGGAAAACATGAAGATGGGAGAGAGTTCCAAAGGATTGAAGTGCGGGGAAAAAAACTAGATGAATAAAAGTTTTTAGAGCATGCAGGGACAGATACAGTAAACGAATGAGACTTAGCTGAATGACGAGTAAAACGAGAATGAATTTTAGTTGATGGAACTAGAGATGATAACTCCTTTGAGCAGTAACCATGATAGTATTTGTAGAAAAGAGAAAGAGATGCAACTTTACAACGATGGGAAAGAGGTTCAAGCTTAGCAGATAGTCCAGGTCCAACAACATTTATAATGCGTTTTTGGACCTTGTCAAGAAGAGAAAGTGAATTGTTAGAAGAACCAGCCCAAATATGACAACAGTATTCCATACAGGGACGAATAAGAGATTTGTAGAGGTAGAGAAGGAATCAGAAGTAAGAAGATGGCGAGCACGATAAAGAGAAGCAACCTTAGCAGAAGCTAATTTAGCAATCGATTGTATATATGGTTTCCATGAAAGGTCAGTAGTAAGCGATAATCCAAGAAGACGTAAAGAGGACGACTCAGTAAGAGGATTGCCATTCATTAATATAGGAATGTTGACCATATTACGGTAGTTGTTTGCAGTAAGCAACTGGGTTTTTTTAGAGTTGAAATTCACAAGCCACTGTGAACCCCAATCTATTACTGAAGTGAGATCGGATTCAAGATCAGCTGCTTGTTCTAGGCGATCGAAAAGAGAAGACTTTTTGTCAAGACAGGAGTATAAAGTTGAGTCATCAGCAAAAAGAGCTACTTTAGATGAAAAGTTGTCAGGAAGATTGTTTATGTAGATAAGAAGCAAAACAGGGCCCAGGATGGAACCTTGGGGAACCCCAGAAGTTACTGGAAATAAAGAAGAGTGTTGGCCTTCAAGGATGACTTTAATAAACCGGTTAGAAAGAAATGATTTGATAATCTCAAAAACTTTCCCAGAAACACCATATGAAGCAAGCTTATGGAGAAGACCAGCATGCCAAACTTTGTCGAAAGCTTTAGATATGTCGAGAGCAATAGCCCTAGCCTCACCGCCTCCATATAATGCACGATAAAATCTTTCAGTTACAGCAGTTAGCAAGTCAGCCGTAGAGCAAGAGGATCGAAAACCGTATTGATTGTCTGACAGTAGTTTATTTTACTCAAGATGAGATGTGAGGAATTTGTTGATCAAAGACTCAAAGACCTTGCTAATAACAGAAAGAAGACTGATCGGACGATAATTGGAGGGGTCAGAATTTTCTCCAGAGTTTTTGAATATTGGAACCACAGATGCCATTTTCCAACAAGCAGGAAAACAAGACTCAGTCAAACACTTGTTAAATAGTTTAGAGAGAATTGAAGAAAGTTCTGGAGAACAATTTTGCAAGACTGTGACAGGAATGTTGTCTGGACCACAAGCTGTAGACAAGTTTAATTGAGATATGACTTTAGCAACAGAAGCCGGAGTGATTTGAATGTCTAACAATGGGTCAACCTGTTTGACTGGAATGGAAGGAAGAGAATGTCTATAAGATTCAAAAGTGGAATTAGAAGAAAAGTTCTTTGCAAATAGTTCTGCCTTATCCTTGGGAGAGGTAATAAGATCAGTCCCATGAATGAGAGATGGAATGTTAGATCTACCCTTGTTAATAATGCTGTTGAAGATTTTCCAAAAGTCTTTAGAGCCTAACTTCTGTGATAAGATGCGAGATTTAGTGAACTGAGAATAATGGAGTTTAGCATCAGAAAGCACCTTTTTATATCGATTTCTTGCAATAATAAATAGCCGTTTGTTCTCAAGAGAGTTGTTCTTTTGAAAAAGATGAAAAAAATGATTACGATTGGATATAGCAGCCGCACAAGAAGGAGAAAACCATGGAGTAGAATGAGGCTTGACTTGAAACCGACGCAAAGGAATAAAAGCTTCCATTCCAGCCTGAATCCAGGAGGTTATGTAGGAGGCGCATTTGTCAGCTGAGAGAGAAAAAACATCAGCCCAAGGACCATCACGAAAAAAATCACGAAAGGAATCCCAGTCAGCTTTAGGGTAGTGGTAGGTGGTGCGATGATAAGGTGAGCCCAAAAAAGAAGAACGAGAAGAAAGATTTATTGAGATCATTGCGTGGTCAGAAGCACCTAAGGGAGAAAAGGGAGAAACTGAACATAAGCTAGGGTCAGAGACAAGACATAAGTCAAGGAGTGAAGGTAAATGATTAGGGTTGTCAGGAAAACGAGTCACAAAGTTAACTATCTGAGTAAGAGATTGAGAAACGCATAAGTTAAAGGCTTTAGTGCCAGCAGGATCAGTGGTGTTAGAGCCAAGCCATTCAGTGTGATGGGCATTAAAATCACCAACAACAACAATATTGGCAGAGGGGTAAAGAGAGAGGGCATGGTCAATTTGATCAGAGATAACATCTAAGAGAGTGCAATCATGGGAAGAAGGAGAACGATAAAGAACAAAGAGAAAGGTGATAGAGTGAAGAGGTGCTAGGCGAAAGCGCATAAAAGAATGGTCAAAGGATTCGAACCTGATTTCACGACAAATAGGGGAATTAATGCGTATGTATACCCCTAAACCTAGCATGTGACTATTGGAGTCTTTACGAATCAAAGGATAGTACCCATCAACACTGACATCTGAAGAAGGAATTGCAGAATTTAAATTTGTTTCACTGAGTGCAAGCAAGTCTGGTGAATTTGGCAGGAGGTAAGACTCAACTGATGGAAAGTTGCTTCGTAGACCGCGAATATTTGTAAAAGATATATTAAAATATTTAGGTGGTGGGCATGGTTTTTTAGGTTTTAAATTTTTGGTTACTTTGGTCATGATTTGGGTTTAATGAGAACTTGACTCATTCATAGATAGAGCACAGCCTCCTAATCAATGAGCTGTGCAGTTGTCTCTGTCCTGTTAATTAACCCTAAGCTGTGACATAGGGCTCCTTATGTGGCCTTGACAATGCACACCAAAAGCATTAACACGGACACCATCCATGCGCAACATGGCACTGTTAATACTCTGATATTTTGCAGCTGTTGATGGAATCAGCCTCTCTGAGAGCTACCACAGAGTTCGGGAAACCTTACTACCAGCCGGCCTCAGAACCATTAAACTGAGTTTTAGAGCTGTACCCTCATATGGAGATAACAGGAAGAGTTGCATAGCCATTATCAAGGAGACATAAGCAAAATTCTATGAGTAGAGTCAAGGAGATTAAGCATTCATCATCCCAGGCAGGAAACAATGTAACACAGGTTACATCTACGCCAGCCTAATAGATGAAGAAGGGGTTCGAGGCTGGTTAGCAGAATTTTTCTGCTTACCCCTAAAGTCTTTGCCTAGGAGGTCTTCTACAAGACAGTAGCTGGATGCAGTTAACATCTGCCCAAGATGAGTGTTTTTATCGAGACACCATTTCTAGCCTTTACTCAACCAAGAGCCCCAAGGCAGGGGAATTTTTAGTCGGAGTTTATTTTTCCTAGTCTTTGCCTAAGAAGAGCACACTCTGCAAGGCAGCAGGGCTTGTGGCAGGTGGTACTGGGTTACGTGATACCAGTAGCAAGATTGGTCTCGATTATCCTGACCTGACCTGGAGTAGTTAAAAGGCGTTACTTCCCGCAACAGTACTTTGAGAAAACCAGGCATGATATTTTGGAAGTGGATTAGGAAAACACTGCATCTAACAAAATACAGGAGTCTAAGGTGAGTGTAGGTTTTGTAGTTGGAGTAAGTAGTTAGTTACTGAGCTCACGCTGCTTTAGAGTATAAACAGAACACAAACAAACATAAATCAACTTATGGGTGAGTCAACACCGCGCCAGAGGTTCAGACAGAACACAAACATACATAAAAAACATAAAAAACATAATCATAATCAAATCAAAATCATAAAATATAAATCAAAACCATAAAAAGTAAATCAAAACCATAAAATGTAAATCAAAACCATAAAATGTAAATCAAAACCATAAAATTAATTTGATTTTGATTATATATTTGAATAATCAAAGACATTTACCTGCAAAAGACCTGCAAAGACCTTAGCTGTAGCAATGTTTCCATTTATATCTTTTATGTTATTAACCCAAAAAATAATTATTTTAACAAAAAAAATTCCAAAAATAAAATAACAAATGCTATACCATATTTTATATATAGGGATATCAAGCTATAACATTTTCTGTAAGTACAAGTTTTTTTTTAGGAATGGTACTAAAGCCCATAACTTCTGTATTTCTCATTCTCTCACTCTGATTTTCCAGACAACCTTTCACTCCTTGATTTATGCCTTGTCTCTGGTCCTAGCTTGTTCAGTTTCTCCTTGTTCTCCTTTAATTTCAGACAATGCAATAATCTTTGTAAATCTTTTATCTTGCATTTCTTCTTCTGACTCTAACATTGCCCAACTTACTAATACCCTAAAGCTGACTTGGATTCTTTTTGGGATTTTCTTTTTAATGATCCTTGGATTGATGTCATTTCTTTCTCTACTGATAATTGGGCTATTTACATTACTTCCTGGATCTAGGCAGGCATGGAAGCTTTTATTCCTTCTTGTCGGTTCCAAGTTAAGCTTCATTCTGCTCCATGATTTTCACATTCTTGTGCAGTTGCTATATGTAATCAATTTTTTTAACTTTATTAAAAAAACAACTCACTTATTATTGCAAGAAATGAAAGTGCTTTCTGATGCTAAGTTCCATTATTTCCAATTTACTAAATCTCCTACCTCATCTCAGAAGTTAAGGTCTAGAGGCTTTTGGGAAATCTTCAACATCATTAACATAGGTCTAACATTCTCTCTAACTCATGGAACTGATCTTATTACCTCTCCCAACTTTTCCTGCCATTCCAGTTAAACATGTTAACCCACTTTTAGAATTCAAATCACCCAAGCTTCTGTTGCTAAAGCATGCTGGTCTTGTCCATAAGCATGCTTCATATCGTGTTTCTTTTGAAAGTTTTTTTTAACTTATTGAAAGTTTTTGAGATTATGAAATCATTTCTTTCTAGCCATTTTAATAAAGTCATCCTCGAAGGTATTACTCTACTTTATTTCTAGTAGCTTCTGGGGTACCACAAAGTTCTATTCTTAGTCCTGTTTTGTTTCTTATCTACATTTATGATCTTTCTGACAACCTTACATCTAAAGTAGCTCTTTTTGCTGATGACTCCAGTTTATACTCCTGTCTTGACAAAAAGTCTTCTCTTTTTGATTGCTTAAAACAAGCAGCTGATCTTGAATCTGATCTCACTTCTGTAGCAGATTGGAGCTTGCGGTGGCTTGTGAATTTTAACACCAATAAAACTCTGTTATTTACTGCAAACAACTATCACAATACTGTCAACATTTCTATATTGATAAATGGGAATCCTCTCACTGAGTCCTTTTCTTTATATCTTCATGGATTATCGTTCACTACTGACTTATGTTCAATCAATTTCTCACTTAGCATCTGCAAAGGTTGCTTTTTATTATTGTGCTTGCCATTTTCTTACTCTATGCTTACCATTATCTTACATAAGTTTAAATTGAAAAAGAAATTAATTATTTTAATTTTGATCAAAATATTTTATTTTTGAAAAAACAATTCTAAAAGTCAAGTATTTTTAAGTTAAGTTATGAAAACATTTTTTTCTCTCGCTTTATTTCATAGAAAACAATTAAATAAAATTTTTTTAAAATGAAAACATCGACTTAAATAGCCATTGAATAAAAAAATTGGTTATACTTAAATTTTTAATAGTACACTGGATAAAAAAGCAATAAATGTGGTATTTAATAAGTTTTATATTATTTTTTAAATTTACTCATTTTTTTTTTAATTTGATCTTACCTTTTTGGTCTATAGAAGTTTCTACAAAAACATCTATTTAATATTTTAAATATTTTAGATTTGATCTTACCCTTTTGGTCTATAGAAGTTTTTACAAAAATGTCTAATTTAAAATATCTAATATCTATTTTTTATTATTTTAAAATTATTTTATTTAATAGTTTCGTTAATTCTAAGTTAAATAGTTTTTTTATAACTGTTTAAATACTGTAATATTTGCATTTTTACTTTTAACTGTTTAACTATCATGTTTGATAAAAATAATTACTAAAAGTAATATTGTAATAGGTTAAATATAATATTGTAATAAATTAAATATATTTCTTGCACTAATTAGTCATTACTTAAGTTTTAAACTATAACTTAAGTTGTAAATTATAACTAATAGTATTTGAAACCCTGCCAAACAAGAATATTATGAGATATTATTTAAATATGAGAGATATTATGTTAAAAAATAGCAGATAAAAAGTTAAGTACAAAACATACAATTATTTTATAATACAACCTCCCATATCCAAATTAAGCAGGTAGGGAGGAATTTGGAATAAAAAATTATTGGGGTTAGATTTTTTTTGCGTTAATTCGAGCCCTGAATCTTATAATTTTATAGTTTAAAAAAAGCAAAATAAAAAAAAGGAAACCAAGTTATTATTACAGTTTCCATAATTTTTTAATAAAAAAAATTTAGTTTGGACAATAATCAAAAGTATTTTTTCTTTTATATGACATTTTTGTAGCAAATATATGATGCACTGGAGTTATGGATAAATCATCAAAATAAAGAAGTAAAGAAGATAGCAATTACAGCTACTGAATCATTTCTTTATGAGGTAAAAATATTACACAGTTTGCTTTAAAGTAATAAAGAAAAAATCAACAAGGAATTGTTGGTTATCAACTTTGCTAGTAATAGCAATTTTTGATTATCAACTTTGCTAATGATTTACTTTTAAAGTCAGTGTTCAAGATCATGTTACTTTTATAGATCTCATTTATCATATTTAAAGTAAACTAGCTGACTAGACCCGTAAAATAAGGGTCTTGGTCAGTCTATATGTTGCCAACTATTTCTATACTTATTCCTTATTCACTTATTCAACAGTAGAAAATTAGTTAACAAAAAAACTTCTCTTTTAGCGAAAATTAATATGCACACTTTTTCTGTATACTTTGAGCTTATTAGAACCCTCACCCCGTTTACACCTCACCTCAGTCTGTTTACACCTCACCTCTACTTGTTTATTTATTTCCAAAAACAATATCTGAATTTAAAATCTTCCTACTTTAAGAAATAAAATTGTCTCTTTTCAGAGTTAGCTGATTTACCTAATTATGTGAACACATAACATAAGTATCTCTAATAAAGATGACAATTGTATAACATTTCTATTAGTTTTTTAAAAATAAAATTTTAACCCACTCATTAAGACTGTATTTATTTACAATGCAAAAGAAGACCCGGAAAATAGATCACAGGGAAATAGGTGATGTCAAATATGTTAATTCTATTTATTAGACTTTCATGTAAAAAGTTTCCTGTCTCAACATAAAATGTTCAACATATCCATAGAATAAACAAAGTAAACTACAATAAAATCTTCACAAAATATTTTCATATAAATAAAATTCTATATGTGAGAATGATAATAATGGGTTTAGGAAAGTGTCCCTTTTTATTTTTTTTAATTTATATGATTATTTGTATTAAAAATAAGGTAAAATATGATAAAAAAAAAGTGTTAAAAAAGTGTTAATTTAAATAACAACAATGTAACAATATTTAAATAGCTACGGTAAACAACAATATTTAAATAGCTATGGTAAACAACAATATTTAAATAGCTATGGTAAACAACAATATTTAAATAGCTACGGTAAAAGGTATGAAGATTAATGATATTTCATTTCATCTTTTTTTTAAAAATGATACCATTAAAGAATTCTTAAATCATTTATTAATTTGATATAATGAATTAATTATAATTCATTAATATATTTTTTTTAATATAAAAGTCTTTTTCAATTCAATACCACATTTTTTAAAAACCTCTTAAAAATGTAAATGATCCTAAATAAAAAATAAAATGAATTTTTACACTGTATTTATAGATATGTTTAATTTGATAAATTAAATCTAGTATTAAATATATAGTAAAAATAATATTTATATAAATATACAATATTTAAGATATAAAGCTACTTTAGTTATCTAAATTTTTGATAAACAAAGCACGGTTGCTATGCAACATAGTTGTGTTAGTTCAACTATCTGCTTAAAATTCTTATAACATTCATTAAATTTTTAGCTGTGGTTTCTTAATTTTAAAAAAGCATTATAATACTCAAAACCCATACTCAATCTGCTTATAAGCAGCAGTCTGCTTAGCAGACACTAATATCTACTTAGAATGTATTAAGCTGTTTTAGTACCAGTTTTGGAGGACTGTTAAATTTAGATGTAATTTTTTAGTAAACAGATATCTACTTAAATGGGAGAGTCATGACAAGTTAATTAAATTTATATCTATCATATATTATATTAGATATTAGGCTGTTTTAATACTGGTTTTGCCCGGATTATAAACTGTGACACCTTTAGCAAATATCTACTAAAAAACTTGCTTTACTTTTTTTTTTTTTTAATTTAAATTAGAAAACCTCAACTAAAAATTAGATGTGTTATAAGAACTTTTACCAGATTAACCATTTAACCAGATTAACCATAAGCCATTGTGTTAAAATACTAACATTTTAATTTCAAAAAAATTATTCCATTTTTTAAATTTTTTATTTATTTTTATTTAATATATAATTTGATTTATAATTATATATTTAATAACATTTATATAAAAATATCAACTTTATGAAGGAAATGTGATTTTTTTAATTGTGGTTGTTTATTTATATATACATGAATATATTTTAAATTTTTACAATTCAAAAAGTTATATTTATAATATATGAAAATTTCAATTGATATTATTAAGTTAATAACTTTTTTTACTTGTGGTACTTAATTTTCTAAATAAATTAGGCTTGTATAATTTAATTATGGAATAATGAGAAAAGAAAGATACTAATAATATAATTTTTTTACTAGTGGTTTAAAAAAAAGAAAAGATTTCTATATTTATATTATACATAATAGTTCCATTTAAGGCCCAAAAACTCAACTTATTTTTTTACATTAGCATATAAATATTTGTTTATTATTATACTATATTATTTACATATACTATCAGGGTCTATTCTAGGGGCTGTACCCCCCCCTCATGGCAAAATTTAGCAGAAAATCAGCTATTTTTTGCAAAAAAAAAACAACAGTATTTGCCATAAAAAACGTAAAAAAAAGGTCCTCAAATTTTAATTTGGGCGGCGCCCAAATTGGCACCAAAATACGATTGACGCTGTCGAAAAGGGTCTAGAATAGACTATGCAATAAAGTTTTGCTCTTTTGGAGTAACACGCTTGAAAAGTGTTACATAATTGCAATTGGTATAAAAAGTTTATAGAATAATTTGTTTTTCATTTACACATATCTTTAATTGCTCAGTGGTTAAGTGAGTTTAGTGGTTAAGTGAGTTTAGTGGTTAAGTGAGTCCTCAGTTTCAGGGTCTTTAAACTTCAGTGAGTTCAAATCCACCTCTATGCAAAAATACATTTTTCAGCTTTTTCTATCCTGCTGCTATTTTAAATACAAACCATAATAGTTCGAGGAAAAAAAACTTATAATTGTTAAAAAAAGTACATATATTTTATATGCTAGTTCTATATACAACCCACAATTTCAACTTATGCTATATCCAATTGATTTTACACTTTCAACAAGGAATAACACTTATGTAATTAACGCTATACAAATGGATTTTTTACATTTGCATAATTTTTATCGGCATATTATTATTGCATATATTTACATAACTGTATATAAATTTCTTATACTTTCTTATAAAAAAGTGCTGAGAGACTCTTTCTTGCCATTGCCTTGACTTTCTTGTCTGCGGAGAGATTCATGTTAAACACACACAAGTTGGCACTAACAGCACTCTTAAGTTAAGCATTATTATAAAGAATTGTGTTTTTTCAGGTTTCATGATTTCATATAATTATATTTTTTAGGTTTCATGTTACATATCTTCTGTAAAAAATGATCAAACTACAAAAATATTAAAAGTAAGTTATTTTCTAATTTTTCAAAGTAGGTAAACAAAATATATAAAAAGAAAAATATATACAAAATAGAATGTATAATAGTCTTATAATTAAATTTAAAAGAGTTTTATTTCAAAGTTCATAATAAATATATTATAAAATACAGTTAATACTAAATTGTATA